TGCCCTGATCAGAATGGAACTGGCAATCTTTTGGTGCATGGGACCATGCCCAGTCAACTGCACCGCACCCACCAGGACCAGAAATATGTTTTAAAGGAAAAGACTTTGGTAACCAAAGTGTGTCTCAATCTAGAACTGGAAACTGTGTGCCGATCTTGGGGCATCTCTAAGCACATTTCTCTGGGTAACAGAGTGTGTGTTAGTTAGAAATGGTGGTATTTTCTTATGTAAACTTCTATTGCATAAATTACATAACTATGAAAAACAGGAATAAGATGCCACTGTGATACTTACGCATGGTTTAACAGGGGAGCAGACTTTATCAGTATCTCAATGCACACTTCCACCTGCGTGGTTTGTTTTCTTCAAAACGATTCTGAGCTAATTTATGATTGAATTCATTTTGATGTTCAACAACTTTGCTTTTCCTACAGTCATTTGCTAGTACTTCAATTAACTTAGCTCCCTAGGTCTCTTGAAATATATAATAAAAAAGAGAATCACCTACAAAACAATCAGACAAATATAAGGTCTTATTCCCGAACAAGCCTGGAGGTTTGTGTTACCAGGAAGTGATTTTTATAAATGTGAAAAGGATTCAAATTAGGAGTGAGTAGGCAAAGGATGGCTGATGGGAATGGGAGGGAGAGACTGCATTAATCTGAGTGTGAATACAATGGTTTACAATGGTTTCTGCAACCCTCCATTTCCCTACCCTTTTAATTTTAATTTGCTCTTTGTTTAAAAAGTAGGGAGGAGGAGGAGGAGGAGGAGGAGGAGGAGGGGGGATGCTTAAGCCTGTACATTATCCAACAGTTGGAACATGAAAGTTGGTGACAGGAGCTTTAGTTTTCTTGTAACAGTTTCACTGATGACTCACTTGAAAACTGGGTAGAGGGCTTATCCTTGTGCTACTTCAGTTCTTGGATATGTTCAAAAAGGGAGGATAATAATTGATGCTAAAAATAATTAACTAGGGTGACTATTTAGAGTTCTAAGAGGATATTATGTAAATTTCCACTACCTTAACAATGACACCTGATTATATGTCTTAATCTTTAACTATCTGTGCTTTGGCCCTGGCCTGGTAATTCATTTGGTTAGAACCTTGTCCCAATATTCCAAGACTTTGCGTGTTCGTTCCCCAGCTAGAGCATATACAAGAAGCAACCAATGAATGCATAAGTAAGTGGAACAACAAATTGATGTTTCTCTTTCTCTCTCAAATCAATAAATAAAAAATAAAAAATAATAATTAAAATAAAACTATACTTTGGCTAAATTCTGACAAGTTACATTAATAAATAAATGTTTTCTCTTTAACTTTATTTTACAACTCTATTCTCCACATCCTTGTTATTCTTGTTTTATGGATTTCTTTTTTTCTGATAATATCTTTTTATGTTGTTTCAGGTCAATAAATCTGCTTCTGCATTTGCTGATACTTTAGATTCTAATCAAATCCTCTCTAGCCCTGGCCGGGTAGCTCAGTCGGTTAGAGCGTCATCCTGATACACCAACGTTGTACATTCGATACCCAGTTAGGGCACATACAAGAATCAGCCAGTGAAAGCATAAATAAGTAAAACTACAAATCTATGTTTCTCTCTTTTTCTCTCTCTCCCCCACTTTCTCGCTCTCTTTAAAATCAATAAGTAAAACTAAAAAAAAATCTCTATATATTTCATCTTATTTGGATTAGGATTCATTCCTTTAAAATTTACTGTTAGCATATTAGCCTGTCATTTTTCTTATATGGACAAGATCCATTTATATAATAAAGGCATAATTTATGTATAACATGACTAGAAATGTATCTTAACATTCACATAATTTCTTGTCTCTCTCATTTGTGTATTAATTACTCTTCAATAATGTGTATATCACTTGGTATATAAGCTAGGAGAGGAGAAATTTAACCATTCAACTTAGAACCAGACTTTTGCATCTATGGTCGTCTAGTTCAAGCCCCTCATTTTAAAAATAAGAAGTGGATAACTCACTTACTTGTCTAGGGCCACACAACACTTAGTGATGGAGTAGGGACTACAACTCATGAATCTTGTGTCTCCAGCCACTGTTGTTACTACTCCAGGCCTAATAAATACACTGCATGCTTTAAGTGATGAATTTGATTAAGGTCACCCATGCTGAGTTAGTCCCTAGGTAAACTTATCTGTTTGTTTGCAGACACTGCACCTTTAATTCAGGCCAGCCAGATCTCTACCCTTGTGAAGCAAGTTCATATGGGAAACTGGCACTGATCCATCCTCCCACTGAAGATACAGATGCTACCCAGATGCTGGATAGTCATCATCGTTTCTGAGGACAACACATCCCTTCTCAGTGGCAGCACTACCTTCTACATTCATTTGACAAACACTTAATTTACATCCACTATGAAACAGGCATTGTATCTTTTGTATCACAGCATCCCTGTCCTCGGGGACATTACAATCTAAGATGAAGGCAAATGTGAAACAAATAACTGTATAATGAGTTGAATCCTATAATGTAAGTGTACATATCTTAAAAACATCCACTTAAAATTTTTCTTCTTTGTTATCACACTTTCTTGCAAAATGAGCCATTTTAATATATAACTAACCAAGGCAGCAGATAAGCATATCATGGAAAGTTGGTTGGTTATTCATAATTGCCAAGGTTTATTTGGCCCATTACTACCTACCAACTCTTTCTCCTGCCAGGGGTACTGTTGTAATTTGGTGAAGTTGTTTTGGAGGTGGGAGAGCTGAAGTTTTGGCGTAGGGAAGGTAAAAATGAAGTAAATATTTTTAATGTCTTAAGTTAGTATTTTTATTATTATAAAAGCAATCCATTATTTGGGTCAAACATTCAAATTATACTGGAAGGTTAAAGTGCAAAGGAAACATTCTTTCTATTCTGGATATGCACACTTAACAGTTTTCTGCCACCCTCCCTCCCCAGGAATTTTCTATGCATACAGAAATATATATACTGGTATATATATATATACATACACACACATTCATATTCCTCACAAATGGGTTAATGATAAATGATTTTTCACTTACTCTAGATATATTTATACATCCATATATATTGATCTATCTCATTTAAAAAATGTTAACCTATCCCTTCTCGGCCTTTGGCTAAGATCAAGTGTAAAAAATGTTTACCTTTGCATATACCATAATTTAAGCAGAAGTTGACCTTTTAAAAAGTCATAAATACTAAATACTGGGGTGATAACAGAGAGAAAATATACATGTAAACAGCTATTCACAGAGTAAATAAAACAGCCACAGGCAGTAGAGTTTATTAAGTGAACGGCTGGCTGTTTCTTTCTCTTTGGCCACTCTTAGAACCCATCAGTAATTTGATGGCTTTCGTCTGCATTCAGAGCTGCTAACTTCTCCCTGACTAACCTGAGGAAGTGGTAAAAGTGAAACTTTTTTTCTGTCTGAGGTCACACTTACTGCTATCTGTAGTATCTGGGTATGGTCACAGGTAAACATCCCTGCATTTTAACGCATATGGACTTCCTGACAATCCCCCACCCTCCTGTGCTCCCCACTTGGCTTAACTTCCTGGATTAAAAAGAAAATCAGCTGCAATCTATCAGGACCCTATCATGTGCTCAGAGCAGAGCCGAAGAGATCTAAGTGTTCTGCCTCACAATATGAGGAAGGCAGGGGGCTAGTTTTTAAGATAAAAATCTATGAACAAAACACAAACTCCCCAAAACTTCCTTTAAACCAAACTGCATTGTCACACGCTCACAAGCGCTTATTACGCAGCCAGATGACTCAAGATTACTACATTTCTATTCATACGGAGTTTGCTGGCCCAGAATCAACACACTCAGGCCCGCCCTCCCCCATCTTCCTCTGCTCTCCCCGGGGAGACTGACATTTGGAGCACTCCTTTGAGTGGAATGAAGATGATGTGTGTTTGCTGCCTGAACTGTTTGTTCTGGGATTTTATAAAGGCACTAAAGCACCTCCCGCCCCCCTTTTAAAGTTATTTATTTATTTTTCGAGGTGGGGGAAGAGGAGGTCAGAATCTCCTTGGCTTCTCAGTCTTCCGATTTAGACATATATTCTGAACGTGGGAAGCAGGCTAAGGACTCCTTTCTGTTTGCTATTTACTGCAGAACTGGGTATTCACATCAGAAATCACATCTCCATTCCTTCTGTCGCTCAGCGCGTCGTGGGGATGAAGGAAACAGAGCCCTAGCCCTGCTTGGCAGGGTTCGAGTTGAAGCTCCTGTTTCTGCTCTGGACTCTCAACCAGCACACCTTTCCCTCTGCATCTCTCCCTTCACAGCTTCCTCGGCCAAACGCTCACAGTAGAAGTCACCGCGAAGCCGGAGGGTGTCCCCGAGGCCTTTCCCCCACCCCGACCTGGAGACAGCGGCGGCGGCCCTCCCCCTGTCCCCCCAGCTCCGCGCTCTGGTCACACGGGGTCGTGGCAGAGAGAAAACCACTTGGATAAAAGATCTAGGCTCGGTCCTTTCCTTTCAGGGGCCTGTCCACGGCCCGAGACGGGGGTCCCCAGGCGTCGCCCGCTCCCAGCCCTGCGGGTTCTCCGCCGGCCCCGGGCCCCGGTCCCCCGCGCGCGGGCGGGGTGGGGCGTCACGGCCGGGAGAGGAGCGTGGGGCGGCCAGGAGGGGGCGCCGCGGGGGCGCCAGCGGGGTGGGGAGGGCCGCCGAGGACCGCGGGCTGCGAGCGGGGAGCCGAGGTCGCGCCGGGGTCCCGCGCCTGGGGGGCCATCGCCGAGGGGGAGGCGGGGCAGCGGCGGCGGGAGGGGCGGCGAGGGCGGGGCGGGCAGCGGTGCCGCGCCGCGGTTCCTTTCCCCCGAGCGCCCGAAACTCGGGGCTGAGAACTTCTCTCCGCCCTCGCCCCGCGCCCTTGGCGACCCCGGCTCCCGCACCTGGTGCCCGGCCCGCCCCCGCCCCCGCTCCGGCGGCGCCGCCCCCCTGCCCGCCGCGCCGCGCCGGGTTACAAAGGAGGGAAAATGAGCCGGGCGGCGGCGGCGCGGCGCGGAGCCACCACGGCCGCGGCGATCGTGGCCGCCCCCGGCACCACGTAGGAGGCCCCCGCCCGCCCGTCCGCCCGCCCAGCGGCGGCCAGGCCTGAGCGGAGCCCGCGGCTCGCTGCCCGAGCCCTGCGCGTCGCCTCCCGGGCGGAGGAGGAGGCGGAGGCGGAGCGGAGGCGCCGCCTTCCCCGCGCCGCGCTCTCGCCGTTGTCTGCGCCCCGCTCTGGACCAGTTTGGGGAAGTTGCCGTGGCCCGGCGTCGCCCAGATGTGCGACCTCATTGAAGCACAGCCGGCCGAGAAGATCGGCAAGATGAAGAAGTTGCGGAGAACTTTGTCGGAGAGTTTCAGTCGCATCGGTGAGTGGCGCGCTGCCCGGGCGCTTGGCCCGGCGCCCCCGGCGTCCGCTCCTTCTGCCCCGCGCTCCTGGCACCGGCGCTGCCTCGGCAGCCCTGGCTCGCGTGGGGTGCGCTGAGCTCCGCGCGGATGATGGAGGGAACGCCGTCCGGGACCTGGGGGGAGGCTGGCGACATCCCTTTCCTTCAGGGTCTGGGGTTTCATTTGTGGGTTATTGTAAGCCTACAGTTTGGGTTTCCCGTCCTCGCTGCTACCGCTCGGGCTTTCGCGCCCGCGGGGAGACCGGCGAGGGGACGCCCCTGCCCCCGCCGCTGGGGGACTGGGCGGCTGCGTGGGTCAGTTGTTATTTTGTGCGCGCAGGCGGTGTTGGTATGGGGTGTTTAGCCAATAATCGGGCTTTGGAAATGGGTGAGACGTTGCGTTGTGCCCTGGCATTGTTTAACACAGCGAACCTAAAGGGAAGTGGGACAGGTACCTGGGGACCTTTTGTTCCGGACTCAGGTCCTCGAAAGCGAAATGTGGGTGTTCCGTCCCGAGGTCTCTGAATTTTCCCATTGCTGCAGGGAAATGCGCGCTGTGAACTTGCCAGGACATTCAGGAATGTCTCCAGAACTTCTTCCATGTGTTAGAGCTCCAGGGCTAGTATTGTCTTTTAAACTAACCAACCAACCGACAAATAAAAACCGACCGAGAAATGTTTAGAACATTTAAGAATAAATTCATGTGACAGACTGTAGCTGGGTGACAACAGTATCACGTGGAATGGGTTTGCTAGATTTCTAGGGTTGGCCATAGAAAACCCCTTTAAACCTTCCTACAGTGGCTGGCACCTAACATAAGTTTTATTTAGACAGCTAACTGCTTTCAGCAAGAAAATCATGCTAGCACTAAAAATCCTAAGAAGCCTTGTAGCCTTCGTTTCACTTTTTTTTTTTCAACGTGTCATCCACGTTAATGAAGGTGTTAATGGGAATTAAGCAAGCGTTTCTTCAAAATAAAAACCTGGAGTGCACATGAGTATTATTGTCATCCTTCTATCCACTCATTTTAAAAAATCATGATATAAGTGCATTGGAAAACATGTAAACTTTCTCCCAGTAAAACAAAACACGGGCCAACATTTAGTTTTCCTTTAACTTAAAATTTCACATGGGGGTACCAAATCTTTCCCAAGATGACTGTAAAGTTACTGTGTGGACCCAGTATTTAGTCCCGGTTTTATGCATTACATGCATTGGCTATTTGCAGTTTCACTTTTACAGCTAGGGATGCCTATGAAGCTTGGAAGTCAGAAGAGTGAAGGGGACAAGGTGTGGAGCTGGCGCTCATTGTTAAGGAGGACGTGTCAGCCCCCCACCCGGACCATCACGGAGGCGGTCTGCAGTCCATTAAGCCCTGTTCTAAAACACATTAACTGTGTATTTACGAATGCTAATGACTCTGTTGGAGCCCTTCCAGTTTTTTTGTTAAATAATTCATTGCAATTGAATCTCAGTAAGAAACCAAGGACATTAATATAAGAATTCCTTATGTTTAAATAATTCCAAGGTTTTGATCGACAATCAGTAAAATTTAGATGAACGACAGTGCTGTCAAATGGGGCAGTATGGTTAATTGGATTTTCTAGCTTCCTGAGATTTAGTGATGTGAAACTCCTTTTGATTCTGACTCTTGTTAAATGCCTTCTAAGATCTAGTAGATTTTACTTCCTTTCGGAAACAGCGCAGTGCAGTAAACATAACTGATTATTGTATTGATGGAAAGTCTTGATTCTGAATAGCTTATCTCATTCTGGAATACTCTAAAAGGAGATAAAGAGATTTAAAGTGATTATGATTTAAGCTCAAGACATTTATTCCAAGTAGCATTACAGAAAAATGAATCTTTGTTATCCATATATTTTCTTGATGTTGTGTTTGCAAAATCAAAAATCAATGAAATCGATCTGATTAGTTAAGGATTTTTAAGGTCTTGGAGGCTGTTGAGTTGAGGTTTTACGATGGAATTATATAGTGCTTAGGTAAAGGGTGTTGTGGGCTGTGTGTCACAGACTGGGGATTTCTGGTGTTGCCACTTGTCGCTGAATGACCTTGGACAGGTCCCTCAACTTCGGAGCTTCAGTTTTTTGTGTACAAATCAATTTTGTTATGGGCATTAGTGGAATAACACATATGAGGTCCTGTGTGGTATGTAATACTCAATAGATGCTCACAATATGTTATCATTATTTGTGATTGCATCATACTGACATAATTGATCTTCTGGTGGAAAGCAAGAGAAGTAAGGGAAGAAGTGGCACCTGACTTTACAGTAGAGCTAGCCTGCAAACAGGATAGGTTTTGGAGTTGGGCTCAAATATCAGAGTATAAACTTCTTTTCTCTAGGAGAAAACCCAAATTAGGGGGAAGAAGTGCATTCAAATGAATATGAAGAAATGTCATTTCTTTGAAAGTAGGTGATTCCAATAGTATTTATGGTTTTCTGCTAAATAGTGTCAGTGTATTGATTTATTTAGGAATTACAATAACTGTCTCATGTTTTTTTTTCTTTTAAATTTAGGTTAGTATAAACAAAGACAAATGGGGATTTGTTAATTGTTTAGGGGTTTAATTAATTAGTTAAAGGGGGTTTTGAACCCCCTTTTTTTCTGCTTGTTGTGTACCTTGGGCAACTAGCAGAATTTCCCCAAACCCCAGAGTACTCATTTGTAAATTTTCTTAAGGTTGTTGTGAAGATTAAATCAGATAAAAATGCATAAAATATCTAGTGCAATATGTGTCACATGATGGAGATCATTTCTGGAGGCTACTATTCCTCCATTACTTTGTTTATCTTCTATCTTTCTCCTTTCTTCATGGGTACTTCTTGAGGAGGTCAAAGAATACATGTTTATTCCTGTTGAAGAATCCAATATCACAACATATTCATTCACTTTAACCAATCTGTGATGGCTTTTGAAATGAACATACTGACTTTATTTTGCTTTTTTAGTATGATTCAAAAGTGTAGCTTGTTATGTGATAAAATGTACAGTATTTTTGTTTAGCCATAGGAAGTATTAATCATTCAGCTACAGAAAATAAGGGTGATTTTGAAAGTAGGTGATATCCAATCAATGTTTATTAATAATAATTCTGACTATATGAAAGTGGCAGTGCTAATGTGTAATTTATTCCTACATGAAAGATCATGCCAACTTTGTCATTGCCCATCTCAAATACAGCTGATCTGAGATTACTGTATTGTAGAAGGTCTAATAAAACACAGTGGCTTTCAAGCCATGGCACTCTGATTTACGACATCTGCCAGGGAGTGACTGTTAGGCAGCTATGGTTCTTTTATAATATGGGTGTAATTGAATTTCATTAGTATTTATGGTTTACTGCTACATAGTGTCTGTGTATTGATTTATTTAACAATTGCTATAGTTGTCTCGTGTTTTGTTTTTGTTTTTTTTTTAAATTTAGGCTAGCATAAACAAAGACAAATGGGAATTTGTTAATTTTTTAGAAAGTTTATATGAAAATTTATTTATTTAGTTTATTTATTTATTTTTGCTAGTGGTTATTGTGTTTGTTTTGTTTTTTTTTAATTGTTTCAAGTATTACATATGTCTCCTTTTTCTCCCGATTGACCTCCCCACCACTCCCACCCTTTAGGACAAGCCCCCACCGCCCCAGTGTCTGTGTCCATTGGTCATGCCAATATGCATGCATACAAGTGCTTTGGTTTATTAACTTAGTTTTGATTGTTAGTCTAGGACAGTGGTTCTCAACCTTTCTAATGCCACGATCCTTTAATACAGTTCCTCATGTTGTGGTGACCCCCAACCATAAAATTATTTTCGTTGCTACTTCATAACTGTAATTTTGTTACTGTTATGAATCGTAATGTAAATATCTGATATGCAGGATGTATTTTCATTGTTACAAATTGAACATAATTAAAGCACAGTGATTAGTCACAAAAACAATATATAATTATATATGTGTTTTCCTATGGTCTTAGGCGACCCCTGTGAAAGGGTCATTCGACCCCCAAAGAGGTCTCGACCCACAGGTTGAGAACCGCTGGTCTAGGAGGCAAAAGCCTTTCTGTAATATCTGGTATAAGAGTAAGGTCAAACTGACATTTCATCATATTCATATGAATGCATTTCTTCACCTTTATTTGGATTTTCTCCTAGAGAAAGGAAGTTAATACTCTTTGATATTTGAGATGAAACCCATGTATACCATTTCTTTAGAAGAGTTTTTTGGGAGAACTGAGTAAAAGCAAGGGTCTGTGGTTACACTGAATTTTTGGGTTCGTTACCTTGTGCTAAAAGTGTGTAACTCTAGAATCTAGTTGTCATTTGATAAGTCCATTAAGAAAGGGTGAGACAAAATTTAGCTGTTGTCCCTCTCTCAATATAGTTTTAAAAGATTTTAATTTGAAAAATATGAAATGAAATCATATCAAGGATCCTTTCATAAGAGAGCATAGTGTATGGTTTTCATATGCCAAAACTTGAGAGTGTCTCAAATGTAAGGTGTTGTCTTTTTGCCATTGAGATACATAACTCATTAATTCAACAACTGATTAATTATTGAGTACATGGTATGTTCTAGATATTATGCTGGCATTGATACTGGTCCTTGTCCTCATGACTTTAAGAAAAGACAGGCCAATGAAGGGGCATAGACTATGTGTATAGTGAAAAATTCTACCTTGAAGATTGGCATAATTTGCTGTTGGAGAACATAGGATGGGTATCTCTTTAGTCTTGGTGAGATCATGGAATGCTTTCTAGAGGAAGCAATGTCTGAGCAGAAGAATGAATAGAAGTCTGATTATATTAAATGGCTTAATACATGCCTCGCTGTTAACCCAGAAACATGTAATATGCTTATTATTCCATGGTATCTATGAAGACAATTGTGGGCTTACATTTATGTGAATGATTAATGACAATCAGGGAATGTAACCAATAATGAGATGTTGTGTGCTTGTTTAGGTCATCAGTGACCTGATAAATATTTGGAAATGACACCTTTAATTGGCCTTTGTTGTTACTATTAACTGTTGTTCAGGGCAAGGTTTCCCTGTAAGGTGTCAGTCTAGCAATAGAGGGTTTCAATGAAGCCATAGACTTCTTGGTCTTAAAACGTTCTCCCTTGTAGTATCCAGAACTCGAGAATAGTGTGTAGGGGAGAGAATCTGGCTTCCCGCTCTTATATCTTAGAAAATACACCTGCAGTTTCCTCTTCTATTTCCTCTTTTTATCTACAGACCCCACATCTTTATCCAGAATGTTGGAGGAATTGGCAGGATTTGGGGGGCGGGGGAGGGAACAAGAAGGAAATAGTCCACACTGGGTGTTGAAGAATTCTGATTTTCTGCTTTCTTCATCTCTCAACTTCAGGGTCTTCATTTCATATTTGCAATTCTCTAAGGGATAGTATCAATTCTAATTATTTTTTTAAAAATATATTTTTATTGATTTTTAGAGACAGAGGAAGGAAAAGACATAGAAACATTAATGAGAGAGAAATACCATTTATTAGCTGCCTCCTGCACACCTTCTACTGGGGATGAAGCCTGCAATGCTGAAATGTGCCCTGACCAGGAATTGAACTCGTGACCTCTTGGTTCATAGGTCAATGCTCAACCACTGAGCCATACCAGCTGGGCTCAACTCTAGTTCTTATTGGATGCTTTGCTTAAGAAAAACCATGGCTAAATTTCCAGAACTTTTATCATGTCCAAAATAAATACATTTAAAAATTTGTTCTGTGAATTATAAGCTTGCTGCTGTTTGTATCTTGTATGGCAGCCTCAAAATGATTTCCATTAATCTTTGTTAAATGTGCTAGGTCTGAGGCTGGACCAGGGGTGGGCAAACTTTTTGACTCGAGGGCCACAATGGGTTCTTAAACTGGACCAGAGGGCCGGAACAAAAGCATGGATGGAGTGTTTGTGTGAACTAATATAAATTCAAAGTAAACATCATTACATAAAAGGGTACGGTCTTTTATTTTTTTTAGTTTTATTCATTTCAAAGGGGCCGGATCCGGCCCGCGGGCCGTAGTTTGCCCACGGCTGGGCTGGACAGTAGTTGACTTTGTATTTGAAATCAATGAGCTAATCATTTCTATTCCAAATATTTTTTTTTAGATGAAACCATTTGTCTATATTTAATTTATGTAGGTCACTAATATTTTATAACAGAATCACTAGTCATGTATGTTAATTAAAGGACATGCTTTGGGTTGAGGGAGTGAGGGGTATAGTCTAGTAACATTGTTGACCGGTATTTAAAGAAAGCCTTCTAGATGAGAAGTTTTACATTCTAAGTTAAAATTTAACCATTTAGAACTAATCCTAGCTACCAAGAACACCTAGGATCTTGTATATGTATTTCGATCAAAGTAGGTTATTTGAGATTTAATGTAAATTTAACAAAATACATAATAAAATATGTGTAATTGAATGTGAGAGAAGCCATTTGAGACTGGAACAATAGGACTTTTCTTTTAATTTTCCATTCAGAAGAAATTGTTCTAAATTAAAGGAAGTAGAGGAATCTATTCCAGATCAGTTTCTTAAGCAAAAGGGGAAGGCTAAGAAACTTTCAGAAGCATTTTATCTCCCTCAACCTGCCCTCATCCCCCTTAATGGCACCACCATAACCACATACTTACTGATGTTTTAAAGAGTCAAATTTTTAGTATGAAACAGAAAAATAATCTTTTTAAGATTGCTAGACTATACCATGTAAGCTTTGATATGATAACTTCAGCTGATATGATAACTTAAGCTTCTCTCGGAGCTTGATTGCCAAAATAATTTGCTTTCCATTGCTTTTGTCCGAACATGGCTGTCCAGGTAAGAGCTACCCGAGTATGTCTAGCTGGAGAACTATCCAGTGTAGACCAGTAAACGCCTATGCACAGTTCTATAAATTTGAAACATCTCTCCAACGGGTGGTTTCATTTAAATTAGCTACTTTCTGCATTACCTTAATATGAAACATTCTAAGTAATTGTAGGATTTAAGGAATGAGGTGTTTGCCAACTATGCATGAAATACTTCTCTTTCTCTTTTTCAGTTCTGAAGCCATATATATATTTAAAATAAATTTCAGGTATTCACTAGTTCCTATAAATATTCTGAACGCATTGTTTCCTTTGTTGATGTTTTGTTATATAGTTTCTCACGTTGAAATGTTTGAATTATGTAGCTGCAGTGCTTATTGTACGTGCTTGGTCTTTCATCACCGTACTTAAATTTTTCTCAGTATGAAAATCTCATTCAGGGTCCTGTGAAGAGTGGGTGTCATCCTAACAGTTGGTCTGGGAGGTCGCTAAACCATGTGTGAATATATATGCTTAAAACCCAGAAGTTTAAGGGGAAATTTCTTTAATCTTACTTTTTGATTTTTTTTTCATATTTTCATTTAAACATGTTCCTACAACAGAAGAAGTAGGTGAAGGATATGCATTCTTCTTTTCCATACTTGGGAGGACAGTCTCATTTACATATGTATGAGAGTGTTCACAAAGATGCATGCTGTGCAATTCTCTCTCCCATTTGCAGTTTTCCTCTTTGTATCGTAACATTGTTATTCAGGTTGGGGTACAGTTTTACTTTCTGAAATGAAAACACCATACTGCGTTGGTATTTTTCTCTGTTTTCTAGAACTTAGAAACTTGGCCTCTTTTTTGAGATGTTTCACAATAACTGTTTCCTTTCCTTTTTTTATTTTATAGCTTTGAAGAAAGACGACACCACCTTTGATGAGGTAGGTTAAATTTCTTTATCTAATGTTAGATGTATTTAATTACTGCCAGGTAAAGTCAGTAGGTGCCAACTTCACACTTAGAAACAGAAAAAAAAAAGCCTTAAAAAAGAAACCAACAAGAGGTGATATCTCTTTAGTTACACTGTATTATTTGTCAATTTTAAATCAGTTGAACGAGTGAACAAAAATATGTCCTTTTAAATTAACAAACACGCGGAAGACCCCCGCAGGCCTTGGTGGTGCTGCCTTGCTGGTGGCAGTGCTGGCCCAGCCCGGTGTGCTGGGCGTGCTCGGGGCCAGCCTGGAGCTGCTGGGCACCACCGCGCCCTCGCACACCTCCTCTGGATCAGGGTGTGATGCCATGTTGACGCCACGTATTGTCTGTCAGACTCCCAGAGGACGAGCTGACTTTTCCCGTTCTAGTTTTCCTGTTCTTTGTGTACCAGACCCGTCTTTCTCTACCTGCCGCAGCAAAGGAGCCTGGTTGAGTCAGGCAGAGGTAACTCATAGCGTTCTGAATGTGATTTTTCAATTGTACTCTTTCCTGAGCTTTTTCCTGTATCAGTGGGGATCACCAGAGAAATAATGTGTTTTCAAAACGTTCTCAAGAGTGCTATAAAGTGGGGTTTCATTGTTGCCATCCCAAGCCACGGCACTTGATCTGTGTTGTGAACTGGGCCACGTGTGTATACGTATATACATATTACATGTTTTTCTATGAACACAGGTGTGTCTGTACGATGGGCTTATCCTGAAGGCTAATGAAAGCCTAGATTCGTTTGGTGTGGTTCACCGCGGCAGATCCCATGAAAGATGTTACCTGTCACCCTCTGCTCTCGGGCTTCAGAGAGGAAAGGACGTGGGTGAGCCTGGCAAGTCCTCTTGGCCACGTGGCCGGCGGAGGCGCAGGGCAGGACCGCGCAGGGAGAACCTGCTCCAGACCGGGATTTCTGGATGAGGCCGGCGTCATTTGGCTCTCACGGTCGGCTGCTTCGTCGGCTGCACCTGTTCTTTTTCCCGGGCCCAGCTCTGCAAAGCTGTGTCCCTGGACTCCAAAGCCACTTCCCCTGCCAGCCTTCCTGAAACATCCTCTAACACTTAGTTCCTCTAGACCTGAGGCAGTAGAGGAATCTTCTCTTCCCCGTCCGTGCGCAGTAGTAATCATGATGTTCTCTAAACCCGTGTTTCTGGAATTTCAGCAGGGTGACTGAGGTGTTTGTAGGAGAGTATTTTCTTCTTTCTCAGAAGAAATCAATGTGAGAATATTGGGCACCTTTTTTCTCTTTATAAAGAAAAGCCTCCCCTCTAATTGGGGAGGTAAGGTGAGCTCTCATAAAAAAGAAAAATAAGAAAAAGGAGCAAGCAGTCTCCCAGATCCTATTAGCCAGTTGCAACCACTGTTGAAAGTTCTTCTTGCTTCTTTCCTCGTGTTAAGAAACAAGCGGAAAACCACAGCCCACATATTATTGCCGGCTCTTTTCCTTCTCACCTGGACCACACATGTTACTCTCCTATATTCTTACACGGAACTACTAATCATCATTAGCCATGTAAACCACCTCTTGTTTAAATGCCATTGTTAATGATTATCTGTTACGTTGCCATGCGGCTGTGACATGTGGCTTTCAAAATAAGCTAAGGCTGGAGCCTAGATGAAAGTTAAGGATGTATATAACAGACCTCCAATAACTACCCACCTTCCATTACTCCAAAACCTCTGCACAAAGTCTGGATTTTGTAATTTGGGAAAAATTATCCTTAGCTTGTACAAAGTGTTTTCCTTCCTCGGTGCCACAAGAGATTGGTTAAATACCTCCGACCAGTAGATCTCAGAATGCTACCCCTGGAAGAGACGTTGGAGGGTACGTGGCCCACATCATCATTTCACAGATGGAGAAACTGGGGTCTGGAGGGCCTGGAGTTTTCAGTTAATCAGGGGAAGACCCACGTCAGCAGCCTGGGAGGCAGCACTAGTAAAGGCTGCCTGGGTCTAAGGAAACCCTAACTCAGCCACCTTCTCAAGAGCACTTGATTGACTCTTTCCAAGCCTTTTACAAAATTGTGAGGATTAAATCAGCTAAGGATCAAGGTTCCAGAACAGTGATGGGCACATAGGAAATGTCTCATTATTGGTATTATCGTTGTCCTTGTCTTTTTCTTCCTCCTCCTCCTCCTCCTCCTCCTCCTCCTCTTCCTCCTCCTCACTGATGCTCTCACCATGACATCCACCTTCTGTAGTTGGGGTTGGGAAGCAGGCTACAAGGTTGATTTAGTTCGAAATTAAGAATTAGAGCTGTGAGGAGAGTTATTTCAGATATTCCAGTAGAATTCCATATAAGCTTTTGTGTGATGATTTGCATATTAATTAAGACTAAAACGATTGTCTAAAACCTACTACATTGCAGGTCATTCCAGATTGGTCCGAGGATGACTGCATTCAGCTTTGTGATCCCTCGGGAGTTTTGCACATGGTTAACAGCCAATAACTAACTATTGAATAAGAGTCAATATCTGTTGCCAATAAGGAGAGCAAGTGTTGAACTGAGTGTCAGACGATGCGAATTGTCATTTGCTAGTTCCTACCTAGCGGGCAAGTCATTTAATTTACCCAGTGCTCAATTTCTCATTTGTAAAACCCGTCAGTTAGACTGTCACCGTTAGGTTGCTTTCTTATGTTTAAATGTATGATAGAATTCTACGTAACAATCAACATAAAATTACAATTTTACCAAGATCAGAAAAGAGCCCCAGATCTGTGATTATATAAACCGGAAGTCAGTGACTTCTAAGGTCATCTTCAGATTATAGCGATAGAAGTTTTCTTGAACTTGCTTTGTGATCTTATGATTTGAATCTTAAAACCCGGGGCTGGGTCAGCATCTTACCAGGTAGATAGGCATTGGGGCGTGGCAGCTTTTCTCCCTCTCAGCATTTCTGAGCTGGAGCTCCTCGGCTCTGTAGCCTCCTACAGAACGCCTGGAGCTGGAGTCTAGTTGCAACTCCTTGGTTTACATAGAGGATTTTTCTAGGGTGTGTACATGTTTGACCTTGAATGGAGAAGAAAAAAATATAGATCTATTTGAAAAATATACTTATTTACTTGTTCTTAAATAGGCTGCAATACTCTGACTGGAATTTATTAATTTTCATAACCAGCCTGGAATTTATTCAGAAACCACCTTCTAATGCTTGCTATAGAGAGAAAATGAGAGGCACTTTGGAAATTAAGTATTGAGGGCCTCAGATGGTACATTGGTAGGTAGTTTTGTTGGAAAAGGGAATTTTCTTGAAGCCATCATATTTGGAGAGAAGATGTTCTAAGGATGATCATTTTGCTCTGAATTCATTGTGCATCTGGGTCCTGATTAAAATATGAAGCATTTTATGTTCTGTGGGTTTAATCTGCACATTTGATATAGACAGACGAATCATTTATAAGGATATCCCAAGTAAAATTTTATCGGTTTTATTTTATTTTTTTGTTGTTTTTTTCCCCACAAAACTCCCCCTCCCCCCCGAACTTTTTGATCTTTGGAGCCTCAGTGTTTGACACAGTACATGGCCAAAATGAAGGGGCCAAATAAATAATTGCTGGAGAAACAAATGGTTAAGCCCCATTGAAGCATGAAAGAACATTGCTATTTTGTGTCATAGTTTTAAGTGGATACAGTGTTTTTGGTGACATTGTGATGGGAGCCAGTAAGTGTCAACTTCATAACTGTGATACTATTACAGAACTTTCCAAGTTCCTTTCTCACCTTTGGTCCCCAATAAATGGCATGGCATGTCCCCTGAGTGGGTCCATTCTTCCTGGGGCAGTTAACAATAGCTATACTATGACTTCTGGTAAAGTTTTGAATCTTATCTTTTAAAATTTTATTTGTTTTAAAAATAATAATAATAATAATAATAATAATAATACCTAAAATGTAAATGGTCAGAAATACAGTTAAATCTGCCCCAGTGTAAAATTAGCACACAGAAAACCTTTTGAACTTTGGGAGCAAAAGTTCCAATGAAGTATACATAGATGTATATAGAAAGAGTTGGAAAAGTCAAAAGCCACAGCAATTCATGAATGGTTCTTGTGCATCAATTGAGTTTAATCCGTGTAGTTTTAGTTCTGCTTCATCCCTCGGTTACTTTAGCTCAGATAAGTTGTCAGAACAAAATGTTGACTATGCTTGGCTCTTTGGGGAGAAATACAGAAATTTTAGTGACTAAAATAAACCTTTTAAATGTGAAGAGTTTTATTTGTTTATGGTATATGATCCAGATAGTTAAGCACTTATTTGTTTGGGGAAAAAAAAAAAAAGGTGGTCACTTATGAATTTTTCTAATTGTTCTTCACTCTGCTCAGTTATTTCATGTTTGTGAAGTATAAGAGACTGCCAACACATTTTGCTACTTTCTAGCAATTTTATTTTTTATATGCTAGAAAAGTGTGTACAAAGCCTGCTAAATAGCTTCACATTTTTACATTTGAACCGTAACTTCTTCAAGTACCTTCTTCTAGGTTAACTTGCTTCCTGTCTGCTGAATGTGATCGTTCTGTGAGATGGATGGGGGCAGTATCCATTGATTTCAGCTTCTAGTCCATGCCCCTTTTGGCTGTTTTGTATAAAGATGTAACTATAACACTGACCTGCAATGATAAATGTGGTGGTGATTTTTATGAGAACTAGAGTCAAGGGGGTAAGGTACAAATACAATTTGGGGATATTCCTGGTCATTCTTTTCCATCCATTGAGGGTAGTGGAAGTTGTTGCAGTCTTTTCTCACCCCAACCATCATCATTGGAGGCCTCAGGGTCTGTGTGAATGATGTATGCATTGTATACAAGGGTCTCACTTCAGACTTCCCTGACTTTCTCATCTAAAGTAATAAATCCCATCCTGGCCAGCATGGCATAGTGGTTGAGCGTCGACTTATGAACCAGGTTGTGGCTCGATCCCCAGTGTGGGGTGTGCAGGAGGCAGCTGATCGGTGATTCTCTCTCA